CCAGCATTCCTACTGGTTATTTACCCCAAAGACTTGAAAACCCATATCCAAAAAGATATTTGCACACCGATATTCATAGCGACATTATTCACAGTGGCCATGACATGGAAGCAACCGAAGTATCCTATGATAGATGATTGAATAAAGAAGCTGTGGTACGTACATACATACAATGGAATATTACTCAGCCATAAGAAGAGATGAAATACTGCCATTCGTGACAACATGGATGGAACTTGAGATAATCATACTAAGCGAAATAAGCCAGAGAGAAATAGCTGAAAATCACATAATATTACTGATACGTGGAATATAAACCTAAAAGCAAAATGAACAGGACAAACAAACAGAGACTCATGGACATGGACTATAGACTAGTGATTACTGGTGGGATGGGAGAGGAGGGGGAAGGTGGACAGGGTAAAGAGAGTCAAATATAGGGTTTAGGGGGAGGGAGAAGCGGGTAAAGGCGATCAAATATATGGTAGCTGAAGGAAAATGGACTTTGGGTGGTAAACACACAATAGAATATACAGATGTGAAATTATAATGTACACCTGAAAATTATATAATTGTATTAATGTCACCCCAATAAACTTAATTTAAAAAAAAAAGCCTGTCATAACAAGAACCAAGAATATCTCCACTTGAATGAAAAGATAATCAACAGATGCCAATGACAAGAAATAGCCAAATGATCTGACTAGAATTTTAAAGCAGCCATATAAAAATGGTTTGACGAGCAATAATAAACATTCTTAAAACAAATGAAGAAATAGCCAACAGTGAAAACAGAGAAGATGTACAGAAGAACCAAATGGAAATATTGGGACTAAAAAGGACTGAAATTAAAAACTTAATGGGTGGCCACTCAAAAAAAAAATGGAGCAGAGAGAATAGAACCAGTAAACTTGAAGACAGAATAATAGAAATTGCCCAATCTGAAAAAATAGATTAAATCTGAGAAAATAGATTTAAAAAAAAAAAGATAATCAGAACCTTGGGGACTTTTGGGACTATACCAAAAGATCTAACATTCATGTCATGAAGTTCCTTGAAGAGAAAAAGCAGGCAAAAGACATAAACTTACAAGTTCAAGAAGCTTAGTCAATCTCAAGATAAATCCAAAGAAATCCATGCCCAGAACATCAGAGTCAAACCTC